CCATCCCATTTCTTTTCTCGAGACAATTACTGTGCACTCTTTGTCAAATTTATCCAAAATAAATCCACTTGCTCAGTACAACGTCCAATTTTAAGACACCCGTTCATATATCAAAACTCAATATCCATCAGATAAATATTTTCACTATTTTTTTTGAATTCATTCTTGTAATAAAAATAAAATTAAAAAGCAATACTCAATAAAAATTAAATAAAGCCAACGACTAATTTCTTATAATCTCCTAAATTTCCTGTTTTAAAAATGCTTATCGATAAATTTATATTTAGCAGAAGTGCCCACATAAATATGCCATATGGCTTAGAAAATCGGCTTAAATGATACCAATTGGGGTCAATTTCGCAATGAACTTCTGTGCATTGGTTTCGGATTACCCGTTTTAGTAGTTTGTCCACTAACCTAACGACCAAAGGAAGAGGAAATTACTAACATGGAGCCAATTTCCATTGAGTACTTTATAAAGCACAGCAGCAAACAGAATGTAAAGGAAAATGAACGAACAGAACACTAAAAAACCGTAAAAATTGTGTGAAAAAATTTAAGGACTCCCATTGTCATTACGTTTTTTGCAATTTGGGTCACTAAGGTACATTTTGCCATGGAGCAGTAAAACAAAAAAGCCAAGGGAACGTACACATCAGTGCAAGTTGAGTAGACCACAGTATATTGCGTTTATATTGATGTTGCTGGTGTTGTAAAGAGTTAGGATTTTATTGCCACTTCATCAGCTTCAACACTGGAAAAAAGCCATAAAATTGTAAAACAAATTTAAGTTCCTCATTCGCAGTGAGGCTTCAAAGGGTATTTGCGCGACAAAAACGCTGATTTGTGTAGTTTTGAAATAAAATTTAAATCAGACAATACTTGATATTTACTTAGTTGTATTAAATTTTCTTTTTATACAATTGCTATAAGGCAATAACAATATATACATATTGTTGTTATATGTTGTTATATGGTCACAACAATTTTAAAAATTGGGACATACTTAGTTATTGTATGTCCCAATTTAAGCAACTTGATAGTTATTTAAATGTTCTATCCTTATTCAATATATAGTTTGCTATAAACTAAGTTCGATGTTTATTATCTATTTATTAATATATTTTTGCATTCAATAAAAATTTTAGATACTACAGCATTTAAAGTTTTTAACAAAGATGAAAATAAAATCTTTAAAAAATATATTTTAGTATGGAAATGTCGAAAGTAGTAACTGTTATCCATTTAACAAAGCTTGAATTTTTGAACCATATTTTTATATACTTTATATCACAAATATACCAACGCTATATCAGAATAGCAAAAATAATCTCAGGTCCAAATTTAATAATGTATAACTTTTACTTGATAAGAATCCAAAATTCAATTTGTAATAGAAAATTATATAAATATAAAAAAGATATAAGGAAAATCTTCTTTTAACTTCAAGTTTCCATTAATGGATCTCTGTAGTAAATGTAACTTGTATTGCCTTAATAATGACGATGATTATCATCATTACCATTATATCTGTAGTAATTATTATATGTCTTGTCTAGATAATATTGATGATTGTCATTATCGATAATGGGATAATCATTATATTCCTTCCCAATTTTTTCCGCATATTTCTTTCCTTTTAATAACGTTTTGCGATTAAGTGTTTATACGACAGCGTACCTTTACCCAATAACATCTCATTATAATGCGACAAAGAGATGGTTTCACAATATTTTTATAATTTTACTAAGAAACAATTTAATACAAAATTTTGTTGTTTTAAAAACTTATTAAGAATTATTGTCTAATAATAATTTTTTTTACTCTCTGTCACTCTCTGTTGCTCTCTGTTTAGATGTCAATAAGCACTTACACAAAATAGGTATATCAGACACAAATATTTGCAGATTTTGCTATGTTGAGGAAGAGTCCATGGAAAATCCGATCACAGAAGTAACAAAATATTAGGTACATAGCAACCAGAGGATGAAAACCTTCAAAAACTCTCTCCGAAAGAGCTGGTTCGATTGCTTGAGATACTAAATGTTTAAATACAAATGGGTGCACAATAGATCAAGTCGGTCGCAATGCAGAAAGGCCTTAGCCTAACCCATAAATCATTACACTAAATTACATCACAATTTTTTTTCACCTTGAAGTACCTTCTTGAAATATTCCACAAAAAGCCGTATATTAAAAAGCATCAACTGCAATTTTTGCCTATTAATTACACTATATGAACCTTTCGTTGGAGAATTTTAAAGGCAACCGCATCAGTTGCTGTTAATGACGTTATTTGAAAACATTTCAACACGTTGAAATGGAATGTAATATCTGAAATTATCTACTGACAGATTTTGACATAAACGTCCACTATAATTGCAATTCAAAGATCCATTTGAACGGTAGTGACGACAACACAGTCTAAAATGGAAAAGATTAATTTTTAATATAAAAATAAGGCAAAAATAAATACCAAATATTTTTCAGTTTATTTCGAAAACGTATTGGAAAATTCATTAGCTCAACGCATATTCCGCAACAGAATTTATTGCAAAAGCCGCACGCACTAATGCAGTTCAAGAGTTTAAAGCTGCTATGACGATTTGTGCATATCTGTCTTTTGACGAGCTACCACATATGCCGTAATGTCAATGGCAACGGCTACAGCAGCAATAGATGCATATGCAATACCAGGATTGCTGATGGCAACGGAAGCCAAGCTAACAACAATAGCTCAAATTTTATCATGTACAAAATATTGCATTAATAATGCACACGATGCATGTGAGTGCGGTGGAGTCGTGGGTTGGGTATTGCACTTAAATGGTTCTGAATGTGTTTAACTGAATTTAAAAAATTCACCACATTTTGCTGGCAATTTCGTCGGGAATGCAATTTGGAGCTTATTTCACAGTCGGCGAAGCCACCATTGCCATTAGACGAAATTGCAATTTATGCATAAGCAGCCATTATGGCTGCGTTGGTTTTCAGAATACACGAGATACACCAGATATTTCGCCTTAAATATGGCAGATAGTTCGATATTATATCTACTTTGAAGTTATGAAGACAGAAAATTTATTATATTGATACTTATTTACTTCCCAAAACAAATGCTAGTCAGTGAAGCATAGTTAATTATAGATTTTTTTATATTTTCGAGTGAATATAGAGCGCAATTAGCGAGCAGACTAAAGTGGGTAGACTTTAGATTTACAGAAGCTATAGTATTTGTCAAATATTAGCTAGCACTAGAAGTGAAAACCAATTTTAAAAAGGGTTTTTATCAAATTTAGTTTGATTGCACTAATAAATGAAAAAGTTTTTCACTTAATTAACTATTTCGATGTAAACCCTAAAGTGACTACAAATAAAATACAATCTATACAAATTTTTACTTAAATAATTAAGTAAATAATAAGCTTAAATAATTTAAAAAAACTTATTTCAATAATAAATAAAAATTTTATACAACAACGTGGCTAAACAGAAAGCATTTAGCATGTTAAATAATGTTTTGAGTATATTGTAATGAGCAGTACCTATAATTGCCGATTGGATCAAGAATTCCCACCACACTCATCTCTTCCGGCTTCGAAAAAATCCGGGCTATCAATAACAATACAAATCTTATACTCTAACAGACAAAGTCGGTATTCTGTACCAACAAATTAATCCACCTTGTAATTGGTAATTGTTGAATGTTTAAAGAAAAATGAAACATACTAATGTAACCTTACTTCCATAAAGCATTCATAAGTATCATACATGTTATTCAGTCTTCTCTATGTAATGTTTTAACATGGTTTAGTCAATATATCACGTTTTAGTAACTTAACTGAAAGCAATCTCAGATCTGTCCTGCTAAAGATAGAATCTTCCCTGCAATTAATGACTTCATTTTAGACCAAGTAATTGCCCAATAAAATGTCCGGTTGTAATCAACAATTCCAATGCAACCAAATCACAAGGATATGTAGTTACCAAAGCATTACTAACTGCATTACTAGCGGCTGTGCGTTAATTCATAAATAATCACAAAGATAAATTTCGAAAGAATAATGCCTTAATTACTACTTAACGTTCTATATATATAAGCACTCTTTAAACTTTGTTAGAGGTTAAAATATTAATAGTGTAAATAAACAAATAGTGTAAAGCTCTTCCTGAAAAATATTGGACCCAACACAAAACGTATTTTTCTGGCACTGAATAATTTTAAGACCCTCACTGTAGTATAATAAAGTTTCGATTCGAACTAGTAATGTCTTTTTCAATTCCCATCCTTATGTTTAAAGATAATAACTAAATTTGCTATTTTTTAATCAGACGATCATAACTTCCATGCATTTTGATATAAACATTCAGCCTAATAGATCTCAATGTTAGTATTTTTATAGGAAAATATATAGAGAGGTAAGTACAACAGGCAATTACAGTGCGGACAGGTACAAATGATATGCAGCTGTTATGCATTTTACAATGGCAGCATTTTGTTGTAACCTGTTTTATTAAATAAGAGAGACACATTGTCTTTAATTAGCCATATTACTAACTATTGCAGAATAAAGTGGAGTCTTGCGACTTAAGTTCCAGATTTCTATATAAAAACAAATTAACAGATTCGCAAAATTCGATGGGTTTTTAAAGGTTGTTTTTAGTATAAGTGTTTGGTTCTCCACTATTACACTCATATACCATAAATTACTGAATTAAAGAATATCAGAGTCCTATCTCTCTATATATAAGAATCTCTCCAATGCAAAATATACTTACAGGTTTCTTCGTATTAGAGTTGACATTCCTTTATACTTCAGATCCGATAAGTTCTATATATTATATCAATGACAGTTGCATAATATAGTCTATTTCTCAGTACTCTTCTTTGTTCTTATAGTTGGCTATGATAATATTGTATTTATTTTTAAAACATATTTTCCATTTTTCCACATTTTTGTTTTTTTGTTTTGTAGTGCCTTAAATTTCCTATTTATATTTTTATTATATTTTGTTTTAATTTAATTTTTTAAGTCGAAAATACACAGTGCATTTTTTAAAATGGAGGAAAAAAACAATTGTCCCTGGCTTCAAAACAGGTGCGATAAATATAAATAATTCTAATTATGCAAATCTGCCTAGAATTTCTATATTGAAATGCCTAGTTCAATATAGTAATTAAAAAAATTAACCTTTTTAATTATGTATTGATAATTTTCTTGTTGCTTTCATACAAATGCACACTCGTATGTTATTGAGATATGTGCGGTCTTTTTATTATATTATATTAAATTATTTTTAATTGCTAGCGCATTTGAAAACAGTGCCGCAATCACACCATTTACTGAACAGACTCCCTCGTGTTCAAATAAGAACCTTCCGAAATCTCTGCACGAAATGGGATTCCGTAATTCAATACCAAATTGGAATAAATTGTGCAAACGTTTTAAGCAGGTCACATTTGATGATATGATAAATTGGTGCAAGAACACGGAAGGTGACATCATAATAAAAATAGGAGAAAGTGTGTTCTCATGTCACAGATTGATTCTAACCAGCTACTCCAATTATTTCAAAAAACGTCGAACTATTACAAAGCTTGAAGTATCAGATGAGAATATTACTCCTGGAGCGTTCCATCGCTTGTATAAATGGATGTTAGATAATAAAGAAAAGATTGATTGCGATGGAGTTATGGAACTCATAAAAGTGGCAATATACTTTGAAATTTCAGTATTCCTGGAATTTTGCTGGCAAATGTTTAGTAATGAACAATTTTTTTCTGAAGATGTAGCATTTATGGTATACAATGATGCGCGTAATTACGACTTTCCTGAACTGAAAGAAGTTATGCTAAAGCGAGTACGCAAATTTTTTATTCAATTAACTTGCACAGAGGAGTTCTTGCTTTTAAATGCTACAGAACTGGGACTTTTAATCTCATCTAATTACATTGAAGTTAACATGGAAAGTGAGGTATTCTTCTCAGTTGTTCACTGGTTAGACCATGATTGGGAGCAGCGTAATATTTTTCTGTTACCATTAATGCAATGTATCCGCTTCAATACAATGCCAGCGGCTTTTTTGTTATATTTGTTTCGCGGTACAGACTGTGAAGAAGTGCAGAGAGTTATAGAAAATGAAGAAGTGTTTAAAATGGTTCAAAATGGTTTAGAATTTAGTGTTGCTAAAGAGTCATGCCCAATAAAAGAGTTGCCTAATATGATTGCGAAACTAAAGTTACCCTATAAGCCACGTTTCTCTATTTTTGATCCAGGATGTAACTATCATCATAGAAGTGACTGCGCCAGAAAAGCCGGTCTCACGTATAGCATTTACTTGACTTACTTAGAGAAATTACAAAATGCATCACCTAGTTATTGGCAAACATTTATAACTGCAGATGATCCAAAAGCGCAATGCTGTGATGAAGAACAAGAAGATGATAGTGAAATCGACACAGCTTGCTGTTCACAGTTATTACACAAAAATTTTCCAACGATATTACATGATGATACTACAGCAACATCAAGTGGAAGCAGTATTACATTTTCGAAAAAAAGCCCAAACACAGATCAAAGCAACAATGATACTGATACTACTGAAAGCTGGTTCCAGCGGATGAAATTTTCCGCCAAACATTTACGCAAACGGATTTCGTAATATACGCGGGACAACTTTGCAAATTATTCAATGATAATAAAGTGAAGTTAACATAGTTTTTATTCAAAATTCTAACATTAAAAATTTGCCACCCTATTGTATTGCATGCGGGAAAGGGAGGGATAGGGTGGTATTCATCCACTGGATTTCAAATTTTAATTCTAAATTTAAATGCTTTATAAAAATTAAAAATTAAAAAAATTAAAACAAATCGTACATTGAAGGGAAGTAGTGAGCATATTTTATGATATCAGAGCTTATGGTTGCGAAGAAAGCTTATTCAATGTATTGATTTACTATAGGAAAAGGGGAAGAAAATGTGTAAGTGAAATTTCTTATATATATTATTTTAATTTTTGTTTTTATATAGTTCACAATAGTTAATATATTATAACTGTGTTAATTATTTATAAATACAAACAAACATTATTTAATTACTTAAAAAAGCATTAATATAAGAACAATCATTTTTATATCAATATTGATATTAACCAATAATATAATAATAATTAAGTGTTGCGATTTAAAAAAAAGGAAAGTTTAATAAATAAATTAAATAAATTAAAATAAAATATATAATCGATCCACAATTGACACATTTACGTAAAAAGTTAATTAAATTTTATTCTTTTAAATTTTCTCGTGACTTCAGTGGCGAAAATATTGAAACTCAGTACGCCTGTCGGGGTACTCATTAAGCATAAAACAATTAAATTAAATCAGATGAAAAGATTAAAAATGACAAATTTGACATTGTTGCGTTTTTACTGCGTAATGTGTAAATTATAAATGAAATATAATTATGAATATTTTTATTTTATACATTTTGCACATCAATGCAAAAAAAGACTCAATACTTTTTAGTGCGTAAATTTAATTCAAATTAAAACCTGATGACAGACCTCACATTGCGCTCGTTTGGTTTTGGTTATAATTTAAAATTTTTATATATATTTTAAAGGCAATGAATTCATTTTAAATTATTCTTAAAGCTACATGTATGCATAAAATTTCATATGGAAACTTTGGTTTTAAGCAGGTCATTAAATATTTATTTATGTGTTATTTTCATTATTTTTTCAAATCAACTTCCTGGAATCACACACATATATTCATAAATAATAAATAATTTGTAACAATTTTAATAACTAATTTTATTCGGTTTTTATTTTTAATTAAACATTCTGCAATCTTAGCTTTGACATACATATATTTACTTTTGAAGTGATTTATAACCATAATCATTATTTGGTTCCATGCTTTAAAGAAACGTTTTCTCCATTCATTACTTTCATTCATAAACGGTATCCAGCAATAGCGACAGGATAGCGCCTTAGTTGGATAGTTGCCAAGATTGAAGAAATGAAGATGTGTCTAATACGACTCGAAAAATTGTTCTCCATTAAGCCTTGCAACTCTGCGATGATCTTCAATTGAAATTGACCGTGAATTCGAAATTGCTTATAAACAACAAACAGTAGTTGAACACATTGTTCTGTTCTTTTTTTCAGATGATAATTGTGTTACTCTATCTGTATCTTTATTTGCATAATATATCGTTAAAACTAGGAAATATATTTAAATATATAGATGGCACTGTAAAAATTAGTCAAGAAATTTTCATAGGTAAAGCTAATAAAAATCTATGCAATCTACAATATATTTTTAATATTGCTAAACGTATTAATATTATCAATTAAAAACGAGGTTATTGAAAACGTTGTATTGATAAAAGAGTTAGCCAATAGAGTAGCCAAATATTAATATATAAGCACATTTATTTCTATTACGAATAAAAAATTACAACAAAATGTTTTATTTCTTATTAATTGTTGTTCTGAAATTTACACTACCTTTTTACCTCGTTTTTATTCCTCTCTCCTATTATTTTTTTTTATTACGTTTCGATAGCAAATTGTAGATACCATTGCCATCTCGCTCACAGTGTTGGTAGTGTTAAAGCCAGCAATGCTACCCAGTTTCGGATTCTTTTTTTAATATCTATCCCAACATCTACATACAATATTAGTCGGTATCACCCCGTTTTTTCTTTTGTTGAGTTAAATAATTTTCTTCAGCTTAGTCTTTCAAAGTTACCCAATCAATCAATTTCATTATTTAAACGAGTTTAATATTCTTTATTTATTATTCATCTGATACAAAACAGAAATTATTACTAAGATCATTCTTTGGAAGTACAGTATCTTTTCCTTATCAACTTTAGTCAGCGATAAATTCGTTCGATAACAAGCTTTGGTAGACAGTTAGGTTAGGTTAGGTTGGAGTGGCGGCCTTGTATCCCAAAAAGCCCACTTAAGCACAAATAATGGCCCATTGTGGTACCATTGGTAGACAGTATTATGTATAATTTTTTCTTCTGCGCTTGATAGCAATAGTTTTCGAGAAATATGCTATAAATTTAAACATTTTTATACACTTACACACGTAGATTACATACTTATGATTAGCATATGTATTCAATATTTAAAACTCAATTAAGTATATGTGCTTATATATGTATATGCTTTACTTTAATATTTCTCTTCTCTTCAGGCAAATGTAGCGAACTTACGTATATACATATATTATTATTTAGTAAATATATATATTATTTAATGTATAATAATATATAATTCATATATATATTTCATACGCGTACAATAAAATAAACTGCAAAAATTTAAATAATATTTAAAATATTTATAATTTTTACCATTTTATATCACATACAAAAAACTCAAAAAAAAATTAATTCTTAGTAGCCATTGAGATTTACAAATAATATGAAAAATTTCTTATATTTCAAAAAAATATTTCATTCATAATTTTTTTTCGACAACAAATATCGTTTCAAATTTTTGGTTTTAGAAAAACTTTATTTTGGGGAAAACACAATAAACTATGAAGCAACAGCTTCATTAATCCGTTAAGGAATTTTCCATGGTTTCCGAGGTTCTTGAATATTCCTCTTCAACTAGTTTAATTTGACTGCTTGGATGACGAACTGGCCTTATAATCTGGGACATCGTGTCTTAGAAAGTATCTTACATCTTTAAGGTACTGAGTCCATGATCTTCCAATCAAACCACCTTTAAGGGTTGAGCAGTTTACAATACTGGCACTACTATTCTGAGGTCTTATCAGTCACAAACATTTAAAAAGAGTGAACAAAGAATAATTTGTTAAAATGTAAGTAAATATTAGTTTTTTTTTTTGACTTTTTTGTATATTTTCATTTGCTGACAAGAATTGCAAAATTTTGCTAACCAGGACTGACAATATTACTTACAATATCGAGTGATATATTAATATCGAAAGAAGTGACAAATGAAAAAAAATATTAGTAAACATTTTATTTTTGTATAAATTATTGATTTTCGTAAATTATTCTGCTTACTTTTAATCAATTTAATAATTTTTATGCAGCCATGACTAAAATATTACTTTTAATAGGGATCCCAATTCAAATCCTAGTACTAGTCCTGAAAATTTTGACGAATTCGTTGCTTCCTTCCAAATTAATTACAAAGATGTAGACCTATGTATATTTATATCGCCCGCTATACAAAAAAAATATTTTGTGGTTGAATTTTATAACTCCCTGGCAAATGAAACAATAAAAAGGTTCACCGTAGACGAAAAGGCTTTGAATGTTTTTAAAACAACGCCTCTTTACAAACAATCCATGATAATTGGATCCAATGTAGTTGATAAGGATAATGATACCACAAATACTCTAAAAATACAAGAATAACATAATTTTGTGGGTATGATACTATAGCATATAATTTTAATACAACTTCAAATCTATTTTTTAAAGAATGTATCGGTAATTATCAAGCGGAGAGCGGATCTTCATCGCTTCTTCTCTTCATTTGGATCCAGTGGTACTCAAGAAGAATAAAAAAAGTGTAACTAATCGAGTAGTTTTTTGAAGTGTGTTTCTGTAAACACTGATCACACAACAAAACAGGTGGGTTGTACTCAATAAAGATAATGATTACAAAAATAATGTCATTTTTTGTGTGATAGTTTTCCGAAGCAAGAAATTATGCATTAATGGAGCTGTTTTAGATGGTTTTAGATGGCATGGATGAGAGTTCTTTAACCGGGAATTCCAGACACAAAACGTTATTAAGAGAAGATGGTTTACATTAACATCAATTTTTTAAAATAATTATAGACTTGTGTTTTCCCCAAAAATATAACACATACATATATTTTCCCCACAATTCGCTTTTTTTTTCAAAAAAACAAATATTTAATAAGAAATTATAACAACCTAGCTTATTGTATAATACCAAAAATCTTTGTCATAAAATGGTTCTGAAAAATAAGGTCAATAAATCTTCTTGTGACTATGAAAGAGGTTTATACTAACACTATGTAATTATTATTTAAATGGTGGTAAAATTATGATAAATCAAATTATTTCTAGATATATTAACTATTGTGCTTTCGTGTTGGATTAAAATAAAATGCAAGTAACCCAAAGAATTTACCAAAGAATTATTACTTACATCAAGATGAAGTAACCTCAACAAAAAAGTGTGGATGTTAAGCAAACTAAATGAATCTATCAAGCTATTTTGCAAATTAAAAATCTTCAAATACCATCCAATAATTTGGTTTAATAAATTACTTTGATACAGTAGCAGTAGTTTAAGGAAACTAAACGGTTAGACTCCCTTAAGACCTAAAGATGTTTATAGCTTTACTTAATTTAAAAAAATTGTATTATATGACTTCAGGATTGTATAAAGAAAAATATTGTTTGTATATTGTTCAATGTACATCGAGATATAAATCTGTTTGAAAAAAGCATGCTGGAAAAAACCAGAACTGTGACCCATAAACATTTCTAAAAAAGTATTAACATATAAATATAAGATATAAAGGTTGACACTACGATTTATAAACCAGTTTTGCTTATCTTCGATTCAGAATTGCAAAATCAATAGTGAGTTTTGTGGTTCGGTTAACTTATAGTCTACAAAAATCTAGGACCAATTCTGTGCGAAAAGAGGAAAAGAAAAGAATACATTATATAGATATAAATATTTTTTCATTAGAACCTTTGGCAAAGCTTATGATGCTATTTAAAAGGAGGTCCTGACGTTCGACAAGATCCTCAAAAATAAAGCCCCTAAAATGTTAAGGCGGCGCCTTGCATATGTCGGACAGAAGCGAGGCACTTTCATCATTCTCACCACAATTGCGGCAGATATATAATCTACATAATCCATTCGATTATTTAACCATATCAGGTATTAAATTAAAAAATATTTATTAAAATAAAAACTAATGCATAGTAAGATATTTTTCTCAGCTTTATGGTATTGAGTATTCATGACTAAAACTGTTTTTAAGCAAACTGTTTTTTGACACCCGGCATCTCTTAACATATAGTATTGAAAAAGACTATGTTTTTTGTTTTTTAAACCAATATGCAGCGGAGTTTATTTGGTTGTTTAAAATACTCCCTGTATATGTCCATATATTGATGTAAATTGATTTAAAATGAATGACCTAAACTGCGTCTGGTCCGATGTAAGTGGCAGACTAGCCAATTTTTCGGTTTTATTTTACTTATCTTTAAACAAGAGATTTTGAAAAGTAGTCAACCACAACAACAAAAATTATTTTTATGTTATTTTAACTAATTGAATTTTTGTCTGAGCATACAGCTGTTTCGAGTATTCCCAAATACCTATCATCAGTGGAACTATTTCTTATATTTAATTATTCATAAATTGTTTTTTGAGACTGAAAATAGCAAGGGTTGAGCTCGTGCCCCGCCAAATTTGAAACTCAGAGTCAGTGTTCATTATCTTAGTCAGTGTATCACTTATTTTTAAACACTTTTAATTTTAATTTTACCTCAGAGCTTAGTAAATATGTAGAAAATATTTCAAATTAAATTACAAGAACATCCATATATTTTGATTGCATAAAATAACTTAAAAATTTAAAATAAGAATATCCTATTAACAATTTTTTTAGAATAAAATCAAATAGTGTAAGTATTTAAAATACCTTGAAATAGCAAATTTAGAAAAAATGTTGATAATAAAATGGTAAAAACATTGTTACGTAAGGACAGTTTAAATGAAAACCTTCCAGCAAAAATTTTATTGTCACATAGTAAAGGTGACCTCCGTTGCTTTTTGTGAACGTGTGCTTACATGGGATCTGAGCAGAAAATAACAAATTCTCACAAAAATAACAAAAAAGGACAATGCGAAGCAACTTTGCCATTGTATCTTTTTTGTGAACATAAGAACCCAAACAAAAGTTCATACGCATATGTCTGCAACCGGAAACAACAATAGCAGCAAATAATTCAAATAAAGTCGTAAATTGTACGACTGTCATAGCAAACGCCATGCGATTTTTTCCTCTAATCTCATTCCATTTTTGTTGCTATCTTACTAAAAAAAATGTAATGAGAAAAAACGTAGAAGAAACTTAAGAATATAACAACCAGAAACCAAATTGTACAGCCAAAATAGAGTAAAGATAATGATGTGAAGTTTGTATCAAAACACGTACAATTGGTCAACTTCCGTCAAAGAAAGTTTGTATTTTTCGTATTATTTTGTGCTTTCTACGTATTATCCGTAAAACTCACAAGCAATTTATATACATCTTTCATATTCTTTTTTTTTCTGCTTTCTAAGAAATTCAAATAAACTTAGTACTCTATAGTACTGTATACTTTCTACTCCTCCCTATTTAATAGACGCGAACTCTTACTCTGCTGCAAAAAAATGTTCATTGTGGTGGAATATTCCGCAATTTTAATTCCTTAATTACACTAAAGCAGAAAACTTCAACCATCTTTAAAACATCAATTAGTGTACTTGGCATACTTCAGTTTCAATTTGTAGATTATTTTAAAAGAAAACCAGAACTTTAATATCCTAGCATTGTGCGTTATTAAGTCTTTTTGCTTCAGAGTTCGTTCAGTGCGCTCTTTGTGAGAACTTATTGAAGTGTACTTCAGCGGCCTTAATTGATTCATTATTTCAATCAATCGAAATCATTAAATGAAATTAAATTTAGATTTTTTAAACTTTTCGCAGTGAATTTTTATATCTTTTGAATAATAAATTTTAAATTAAAATTTTTCCACAAATTAATTAATGAGATAGGATGATGCTTAGTTCGTAAAGGTGTAAAAGCCTAAGATTGTAAAAGAGATTTCACAGTTTAATGAAAATTTTTATGGTCAGCCAAATTTCAATAAATAAACTAAAATTTTTATTGTTGTCTTTTTATTTCTATTTGAACCCTTCTAACTTTTAAATAGTGCGTCACTTTCGGCAAAAAAAAATTAACATTAAAGTATTAGAATTATATAGGAAATACGTACAATAATATTGTTCAGTTTTCCTAATCGCGATTAGCGAACTTGTAGAGTAACATTTGCATAGCTTTTTTGTAAAATTACACCCAAAACAAGGCGCTTTACATATAGTAAGTACAAATATGCATAACAGATGTCTCTGCAAAAAAGAATAATTTTAAAATAAAAATAGGCAAGCTCAAGGATCACCTTTCAATTCATTGAAATTGTGTTTCCAAATATAACTGTAGTTTATAAGCTCTTTCTAATTTAAATCACAAGTGCTTTGGTTAGTAGAAGTATCACTTAAAAAGTGACAAAAAACTTGGAACTAGATCATTGAGAGTTTGTGTAACCTTATCTATTTATTGAAAATGACGTTTAGTCATCGCTTCTAATTTGACAGACACGAGTTCTAAGTCTGGCTTGTGCAGTACAAGGCATATTATATACGTACTATAAACTAATTAAAAAATTCGATGATGTGTGCTTTCACACATTTCTTTTAACTCATTTTACAGAAGTTGTTTAAACTAGGGTGAAATAAAAAATATTACAACCGTTATCTGTGATTAACAAGCTTTAACTAACAGAAGTCACAGAACTTTAGAGAATTACTTTTTTGATACTTACTACTCTTTTGATCGATAATAATAGAAGATCTTACATAAACTCAATAGAATGGACCTTAATTGATCTTTCTGGATTATTGCGATGAATATATTCTAGTATTAAAGCGGCACATAACCACTAATTATGAACAACGGAAGCTTAACTACGTTTCAGCTAATGCAATCAACGATCCATGAAAATAGTATCATCATATTCAACTCTTAAATCTAAGCAATTTAAAGTAAAATAACTTTAATATGTTATAAGCGTAGGTCCTCTTTTGGTACTCTTAAAAATGTTTAAAATGTTATCTTATTCCAGGTATTTTACTAATAACAATTTATTTATATTTTATTTAATATCTCAGCAGGGATAGTTTAAACCAAGTGAAACTTGGTATATGTTCAAAAATATATCAGCTCTATTATTGAAATGATTTATTTTATGAATATTTAATTTTTGAGGTTTAATATAACATATTTTGTAGAAATATATACGTACACATCGTATATTGAACTACATCTTTACACAAATATTCATATATATAATTTATGAAATAGTTGGAAGCATTTTGCAGCATATTTTCTCCTTTGATATTTTTATATTGCAAATTGTTACTTACATTTTTTTATTTCTTGTCTGGCATGTACATGAGGATGAACTATAGAAACATGTTTTCAAAAAGTGAATGAAACAAGATACCTTTTTTATCTTTAAAAATTTCACTAAATATTCATAGTTGTGTAAGTTTCATTTTCAACAAAATCAAGTTTTGTTAATACATTTACATTTAATGTTTTCACTCTAAGCGTAATAATTCAATTTATTTAAAGAAACTTCAATTATTATTAATAATAATATGCATATATTAATGTCTTTAATATAAACTGATAAAAGATTAGCTTAATGTCACTAGTGAATACTCGTACATAACTTTAATTATAAAATCTGTAGTTATAAAATTATAACAATATGTAAATATAGATATGTCAGTAGTTCTACAAAGTGTCGATTAGGAAATGCATTGGTGTTCCTATAAACCTCCTATGAAACCTAAGCCATCGTGCATGTACTCCTTTCATTGGGCCAGAGCCCTTCTGCGGGGTAACAAATAGCTTCACAAATAACTTATTATGTGAACGGGAGAAACAGCATCTACTTGAACACTGGAGAGCCCAAACAGGCCAGCGACAGTCAAAAAGATTCATTGATCCTGAACACATCAAAGTTGATGCTATCATCAACCTTAGCAGAAATGATATCAAAATCTACACTGAACTTCTTACAGGACACTGTAGACTTAATCACCACATGAAGATTATAGGTGCGGTAGAAAGTGATTCCTGTCGACTCTGTCATGAGGAGAAGGAAACATCAGAACATGTTCTATGCAACTGCCCG